TGTATATATATATACATGTATACACAGACAAAAAATAAGGTTAAATACAATGAAGGGATAGAATATGACTAAAAATGCAAATTAAAGAAGATTTTAAAAAGAATTGGTAATGTAAGATGTTGGTTGAAAAAGGAAAGTAGAAAAATTCAAAAAAGAATAGAAAAGAAAAAAGAAAATTTTAAAAATTAACTTTGAGGGCGCCTGGGTGGCTCCGTTGGTTAAGCGACTGCCTTCGGCCCAGGTCATGATCCTGGAGTCCCGGGATCGAGTCCCACATCAGGCTCCCTGCTCAGCAGGGAGTCTGCTTCTCCCTCTGACCCACTCCCCTCTCATGCTCTCTGTCTCTCATTCTCTCTCTCGCAAATAAATTAAAAAAATTATAAAAAAAAAAAAAACTTTGATCAACTAAAGAATCATGGGAAAAAAGCCATGAATTCTATGTGTAGTATTCCCCTAGTGCTTGGAGTTTTGCAGTTCTCATTGATTGGTAAACTTGCTTTTGGCCGGAAGTTCTTGCTGATCTTCTAGGGGAGGGTCCTGTTGCAGTGGTTCTTAAATGTCTTTGCCAGAGGCGGAATTGCCCCTCCCTTGCCTGGTCGGGGCTAAGTAATCTCGGGTTTGCTCTTGGGAGCTTTTGTTCCCTGAAAGCTTTCTTTACAGCCTCGGAGGACAGAGTGAAATGGCAGCCTCCCAGTCTCCGCTCTGGAGGAGCCAAGAACTCAGGTGACTCCTCATTGAGCCCCTAGAGAAAAGCAGTCAATCTCTCCCATCTCTCCGGTCTCCGGCTGCAGTCCGTGCTCACCTGACCTGTGACCAAGGGTTTCTATCTCTGCCACCGGACCCCATGTGGAGTCTCCAAACCCAGCAGATCCCTGCGGTGCGCTCCCACGCTGCTTCTCCTGGGGCAGGAAGGGGAGTCTCCCCGATTCTGCAGCTGGCTTCCCTGCTCTGATACCTGGGAGCTCTGCCACTCTCCGGCTCCCCTGGTCTTTCTGTGACCCCGAGGGTCTGAGAGCATACTGTCCCAGTGAGGTTCCCACCCCATGCTTAGCCACCGGAGCGAAGTCCCTCAGCGGAGCCGACTTCTAAAAGTTTTGATTTTGTGCTCCACGGCTGTATCACTTGCCCATAGCAGCTGATGGAGGCCCCCTCCCCTGGCCGTCTATCTTCCTGAATATTGCCTTCTTCGCACGTCCTGCCTTCCAGAAAGTGGTCCCTTTTCTGTTCATAGAATTGTTGCTCTTCTTTTCTTTGATCTGCTGTCAAGTTTGAGGTTTTCAGAATGGTTTCATAACTATCTAGCTGAATTCCTGGGAACAGACGAAATTTAGGTCTCTTACTCCTCTGCCATCTTGCTCCTCCCCACCCATCTTTAATTTATAAGTTTAACCAATTGCTTTCCTACAGTGTAAGCTACATGAAAACAGGGACTTTAGCTTGGTCACTGCTGTGTCCTTAGTGCCTACTACAAGGTTGGGCACATATTAGCACTCAATATTTGTTGGATGAAGATATGATGGTATCTGTTTGGAAGTAAATGATGGTTTTTGGCTGCATGGTTTTTTTGTTTTTGTTTTTCCTTTTTTTTCCTGTGAGTTTAGCAAACCAGTTCAACCCAGTTTAAATAATAAACTGTCATTTTGCCTAACAGAGTGCTTTGGATTAGAGTGGGCTTCCTGGTCAGTGATAGGTGCTGTTAGCCATCTAGTCAGCAGCACTTGGGCTAGTCCCCTCTAGTCAGCAGTGAGCAGCATGCATGTCCAGTGGGATAAATGGGAGAGACTGCATTTCTGTTTCTAGTTTACCTGAGTGTGTGGGAGAAAAATGGGGAAAGATGAAAAACTTACTAACTTTCTTAGAGAGGGCAGACAGCATGAGTTGGCAGAAATCACAAGGACATTAAGAACCTTGAGTATGAGATTTTGGAGATGCTGGAGTATAGGATAAACCAAGTTTGTGTAGCTCTTTTTGTAAAGGTTTGGAGAATGGTGAGAATTTAGTCATACTTAGACATGGGAAAAATTAAAGGTTGGGGGGGCTGATTTGTTCTTTTCAGGTGCCCACTTGGGCTTTTCCTCCTTTTTGCTAACCATCCAACTGTTAAAGAGAGTACCTAAAAATGCTAAAGTAGAAAACAAAAATGGTTCCCATAAAATCTCCAAGTAAGATCTGTTTTTTTTAAAGATTTTATTTACCTATCTGAGAGACACAGAGAGCACAAGTAGGGGGAGGGGCAGAGTCAAAGGGAGAGGGACAACCAGACGTCCCACTGAGTGGGGAGCCTGACTTGGGCCTTGATTCCAGGACCCCAAAATCACCTTAGCCGAAGTCAGATGCTTAACTGACTGAGCCACCCAGGTGCCCTTATTTTTTTTTTAATTAAAAAAAAAGTAATCTCTATGCCCCCCCTCAAAAAAACGTAATCTCTGTTTCCAACATGGGGCTCAAACTCACAACCCCGAGGTCAAATATTACATGTTTTACCAACTGAGGCAGCCAGGGGCCCCTAAAATCTGTTGATTAAAGAAAAAATATAATACATGCAAGTTGTTAAAATTTTTTTTTTTTTTAAGATTTTTATTTATTTATTTGAGACAGAGAGAGAGAGAGAGAGAGAGCATGAGAGGGGGGAGGGTCAGAGGGAGAAGCAGACTCCCCACCGAGCAGGGAGCCCGATGCGGGACTCGATCCAGGGACTCCAGGATCATGACCTGAGCCGAAGGCAGTCGCTTAACCAACTGAGCCACCCAGGCGCCCCAACAAGTTGTTAAAAATTTTAAGTATTAATAGAAAGAAAGGTATAATAGGACTGAATAGGCACTTTTTTTCTGAAAGATTTGTTTATTTTAGAGAGCATTTTTGTGTGTGAAGGGTGGGTGGTGGGGCAGAGAGAGAGGGAGAGAGAGTATCAAGCAGACAAGCAGACTCCTCACTGAGTGTGGAGTCTGTTGCGGGGCTCCATCTCACAACCCTGAGTTCACTCCCTGAGCTGAAACCAAGGGTTGGATGCTCAACCAACTGTGCCACCCAGGCGCCCCTAGTCACTTTATTTTTTGATACATACACAGCATTGCTTTCTTTCTCTCCTCAAAGGTACATGTGGTTAAGAGTTTCTTTGATTCCTTCCCCAAAACAATTGTGCAGGTATCAGCACACACTGTTCTACCTCCTTTTTCATATCTGCATAATGATCTGTCATGTGTGGAGGTACCCTTTGAGCCATCTTCTGATGTGGATCACTTTGGTTGGAGCTAGTGTTTTGCAGTATAAGCAACATTGCCATGAATATACAGATTTGTTGGTAGACCTCTGCACATGTATCAATGAGGTATAATCCTAGTAATGGTGAAATCTCTGGGTCAGAGTTTATGAACATTTAAAATTTTGATAGATGTCAAATCCTTCTCCCAGAAGTTTGCAACAGTTTTCATTCCTGCCATCATGCTTACTCCTTTCTGGGTATCATAGTTTTTTTTCATTTGTGCCCATCTGATAGGTAATATTGTTAACTTGTGTTTTGAATTTTGTGTGTTGAATTGAGAGAGAAATTGAATATCTTAAATTTATTGCCTATTAATGTTTGTTTTCTTGTGAACTGCCAGATGATTGTCATTTCTGTTATATGTGAGCTTTGTACTTGAAGGAAATTAGCTCATTGTTGCCAAAAACATTGTTGTAAATGTTTTTCTTAGTATTTTGTCTTTTTGACTTTTTTTGCCACTCAGATTTTTATTTTTATGGAGTTAAATTTATCACACTCTTTCTTGACTTCGGTATTCTGCTCTGACCGGCCACTTGGCCTGTTGACACCAGTGCACATATGACTGGGCTGTGTGAATGGTACTGGGCACACCAGGTATAAAGCTGAGGCAGTGGACCCCAGAGCCCCAGGACGCTGGTCATATTAGGAGAAGCCACAAATCCTTGACAGAGCTAAATCTTAGTGTTCCTGGGATGCTTTATGTCTGTTGAGTGGTGTTAGATTTAGTAAGGTGGGCAGAGTGTTGAGCCCAAAGCCTAGAGTGGGAGGTGGGGGGTGGTGGGGGGAGGGGTTGTGTTGGCCCTACTGAGGAGGTATTAAGTAAATGCCAGATGGCCAGTGAGGTAAAATGGCTTTATTGCCTTCCTCAGCTGACACAGAGATCAGGATGGAGAGTTAGACCAGATGGCTGTGATTTTTGTGATGTAAGAACTATGTGAACTAAAATCTTTGGAATTTCCTGAGGTAGAGGTGCTAAGAGTATCTTCTTATTCATAATGAGCCCCTTTAAACCATATCTGTTTATGCTGATGAGGTGACTTTTGCTGGGCCCCTAGATAACTTTAGGATGGGGCTGATTGCCAGGGGAATCAGCCTTGTGATTAGAAGGTTAGAACTTTCAGCCCCATCCCTGAACCTGCAGGGATGGGGAGAGGCTGGGGATTAAGTTCAGTCACCAGTGGTCAGTAATGTAATCAATCACACCTACCTAATGTCACTTCCTTAAAACCCCTAAAGCCAGGGTTTTAAGAGCTTCTGGGTTAATGATCACACAGAGGTGCTGGGAGGGGGCGGTGTGCCTAGAGAAGGCATGAAAGACTTACGTTGCTCTGTGCATCTCTTCCATCTGGCTTTTCCTGAGTTGTATGCTTTATAAGAAATAGGACATGGTAAGTAAAATGCTTTCTTGAGTTCTGTGAGCCATTCTGGCAAGATTATCAAATTTGAGGAGAGGTTGTGAGAACCCCCAACTTGTAGGTCAGAAATATTGGAGGCTCAGAACTTGTTTTCTGAAGTGGGAGCACTCTTGTGGAACTGAACCCTTAACTGATGCTCATTCCAGGTCTGAATCGAGTTGAAGCAGTAGACATCTAGTTGTTGTCCTGAGATTTGGAGAATTCGTTGTTAATGTGGAAAGACCCCACATGTTTGGTGTCAGAACTGTTGTGAGTGAAAAACAGCTTGTATGGGCCATTCTCTTTTCAGGGTATAACTTTGAACCTGGCTGTTTCTTTTACAGGTGGAAAAATGGCGTTTGTGAAGAGTGGATGGTTGCTGCGACAGAGTAAGTACAGAACATGAGCCCGTTGGACTGGGTTTAGTGTTGCCTTAGGGTACATGTTTATTTCTATTGCTGAAACAGATCACATTTAAAAATAAATGTCAAAGTCTTATTAATGTGCTTGCTCTGGATTTCCTCTGGGAAATTTTTAGAGCTCTGTGAACTGTGTTTCTGCTCACCAGAGTTCCTTCTTGGTTGCTATTTCCCTGGCAGTCAGCCCCATCCTAAAGTTATCTAGGGGCCCATGTACTCATGGCTGACCTGAGTCCCTGCTTGAATCTAACCAAGCTGAACTCTGATATATTAGCATGGAGGTACTGCTGTCTTTGTGGGAAATACCTGTTTTATTTGGGGATTGAATAGTGACTAAGATTCTAAAACACTGGAGACTTTAATTTATAGAGATGAAGATTTGACTTGAAGGAATGAGTTTATCTAAAACTAATCTTTTGGATCTCCAAAAGGACTCTGCAGAAGAGAATCAGTTTTTTTTTTTTTTCTTTAAGATTTTATTTATTTGAGAGAGGCAGAGAGAGAGAAAGTGTGTGAGCATGAGAGAGAGAGAGAACGCACGAGCAGTGGGGATGGGCATAGGGAGAGGGAGAAACAGACTCCCTGCTGAGCAGGGAGCCCGATGCAGGACTCAATCCCAGGATCCTGGGATCATGACCTGGGCCAAAGGCAGACGCTTAACCGACTGAGCCACCCAGGCCCCCAGATTCATGGTGTGTTCTAAAGCAGGAATAACCAACTCTGTTCATTAGAGAAAAAGTAAACAGATTATTCTGCTGTCCCTCTAGAAAGAGCAGAGTTAAGGGAAAAGTGACTATTATATCATTTATGACTAGCAAAAAACTGAGCTATAGTTTATACTGTTTATTATTCAGATACAAATTTCTGTTAGGGGGTTACCTTCAGAACTTAGCTAAAATTGAGACTAGCAGTGAAGAATGGACTGCATACCTTAGATGGTTTATAAAAACTATTATTTATGAAGGTTGTTTGTGACCTTGTTACATAGATTTTACATATATTATGTACTTACCACAGCAGCTCTGTGAGGTAGGTGGCGTTATCCTGGTTTCTAGTTGAAGAAATTGAGTTTTAGTGATATTAGGTAACTTAACACTGTGGGTGGCAAACCTGTATTCAGATTCAGGACTGTGTCATTTCGGCATTGACACACTTTCTACCAGGACACAAGCCTTCAGCTTATTTGTCCTGTCACTAGTTCTACATTCCCAGACCTGGAGCTGAACCAGGTGTCCTTTCAAGGTCTGTGACAGTTCTGTATTCTAAGAATACATAGAGCAATGTTGCTTTAAAAAGAAAGTCCTGGCATATTGAAGCCTAGCCCCAGTCTTTGTGTAAGTTTCTTTGTTTTGGGTTTTGTGATCCCATCCTTCCCTAAATTGTCAGGGGATGTGGAGAGCCTTGTTTGGACCTAGAGGATGTACCTTCCTTTCCTGGTCCTATGGATATCCTCTGGTTTTCTCTTTAGGCTTTGCTGCGTCCTTGTTTGAGGACAAGCTTTCCTTTCTTCACCATGACTCAGTGTAAATGTTCTGTCAACATAAGTGAACAGTGACCATTTTGACTTTTTGTCCCTTCTCCCAGTCAGTGCCTAGCGTAATGACGTACACAAAATAGATGTCTTTTAAATAAGTTGTACAGACTTTTCTAGTGTCCTGGTCCATGGCAGTCTTGAAGTGTATATTCAGAAGACTTATTCCATTTTCCTTTGCAAAAATCAGAACTATCAATCCTAATAAAATAAGATGAGGTGACTTGTATTATATTCACTGGGTAGCAGAGGTACACAGATGGTTACATGTATGCAAAGCGTCTGGAGGATTCCTTTTATTGCTATTGCCACACAGACCTTTAGGACTATGGAGGACAGCCTAATTTGGGAATCTGCAGTCAGGGCTTTGGTGGCAGGTGAGATACTTGGGTAGAACTCCCTAATCCAGTTCACCTATGTGTCTGGGTGGCTCTATTTGGTAGTTTCTGTACAGCTCAGGGGCTGCCAATCAAGTGGATGCTGATGTCACTTATTTATCAGTTTGGGACACTGCTGTGGATGCCCTTCTTAGCAAGGAGGGTGCCTGATAGTGGTAAAAGAAATTTGGAGGGCTGATACGATGCATATTTAGTTCACACCAGTAATGGCTATGGGAGCATAAGGAGAGGTACATGGAATGGAATTTGTGCACGATGGCCAAGAAGGGTGGGATCTGCAGGAACAAAGGATGTAGTAGGTAGTGTCTGGGTGTGAGGAAGGAGCAGGGGTGACTGACTTGGCCTTTTAGTTTTCCTTTTTGGCTAATAGGGAAATTTGAGTTTCATAAAGTTAAGTGCCTACTCCAAGATTACAAATGTTAGGATGGATTCCCTAAACTGATAGGGACGTATGAGGTAGCAGGACAGATGCACACAGGATGGGAGTCAGTGTCCTGGCTGTGGGTACACCCAGTGTCCGAACCTGCTTCTGTGTCTGTCTGAAGCAGGGAGACCCTCCCACACCATGGGCTTTAAGGGATGGTGAATGTTAGAGAAGAATATATGTGAAAGCTCTTCGAGAAAAACAAAACAAAGCATGTTTTTTTAAAAGAGGAATGTATTATTGTTTTTTGTATATAGAGACTTGACAGTCCAGTGTTCTCTGATCAGTTTAGCAAAGTTAAATACTCCTGGGAGAGTGTAGATATACTACATGGAAAATTAAATATTAGATGTTTTATTAGCTTAAAATGAAGGATTTTGGGGTTTTTTTTGGTTTTTAAAATTTTGAGTATGGTTGACATAATGTTACATTAGTTTCAGGTGTGTAACTCTTGTTATGCTATGCTCACCACAGGCGTAGCTACCATCTGTTTCCATACATCACTGTTACAATATCATTGACTGTATTCTTCATGCAGTGCCTTTTATTCCCATGACTTAACTCATTTCATAACTGGAAGCCTCTATCTCCCACTACCCTTCCTCTGTTTTGCCCATCCTCCCAGCCCTTTCCCATCTGGCAACCATCAGTTTGTTCTCTGTATTTATGTGTCATTTCTGCTTTTAATGTTTGTTTATTCATTTGTTTTTTTTTTTTTTTAGATTCCACATTGAGTGGAATAATATGGTATTTGTCTTTCTCAGTCTGATTTATTTCACTTAGTGTAATACTTTCTCAGTCCATCCATGTCATCACAAATGGCACAGTCTCATCCTTTTTTATGACTGCATAATATTTCATTGTATATAACTATCACATCTTCCTTATCCATCTGTCTATTGATGGACACTTAGCAACTTAGGTTGCTTCCATATCTTGGCTATTGTAAATAATGCTGCAATAAACATGGTGCCTGTGTGTTTTGAATTAGTGTTTTTGTTGTCTTTGGGTAAATAGTAGTAGAATTATTGGACCATATGGTATTTCTGTTTTTAATTTTTTGGGGAGCATCCATACTGTTTTCCACAGTGGCTGTACCAGTTTACATTCCCACCAACATGATGGTTCTTTTTTCCTCTACATCCTCACCAACACTTGTTATCAAAATCAAGCTTTTATTGAACTTTAAAAAAAAAATTTTGGACTATTAAGTTGGCAGCATTCTTAGTATCTTTAGTGTAAGGTGCATGTACAGCATGGGTGTTTGTGCCATTGGAGTTTGATTTCATCTCCATTTTGATGTAGTGCTCTGGGCAACTGTATGCGTGTGTACTTATGGGGCCAGAGAAAAGTTTCCTTCGTTTCAGTTACCTGTGAGCTAGAGGATAAAGTCCTTGCTTTTTTTGGCTCAAAGCCAACCTTTCCATTTTTTTCAGGTACTATTTTGAAGCGTTGGAAGAAGAATTGGTTTGACCTGTGGTCAGATGGTCACCTGATCTATTATGATGACCAAACTCGGCAGAGTGTCGAGGATAAGGTCCATATGCCAGTGGACTGCATCAATATCCGCACCGGGCACGAGTGTCGGGGTAAGTGAGTCAGTTGTGGCCAGCTTCTGTTCTCTACCCTTCCCCATTCTTGGTGGGAGTTGAATCATTTTCCTTACTCATTTTGCTTTCATTGACAGACCAAAGAAGGGTTTCATCTTTCATCAAACAAGGGAGGTAAACACAGTGGGCACCCAGACACTTGGATCATGAATCATATGATTGGGGCAGATTAATTTTCTCATCTGAATCAGACCTAGCAGTCCACATTCCTTGCTCTGTCATGGAGAAAGTGGTGGAGAATAACCAGAGTGCTGGGATCCCCAAGAAAGATGGAACCACCCTAGGCAGTGTATAGGTTTTGTTGCTCAGAAACAGGCATCTCATTGATAACACCACCAGTCAGTTACTTAAAAATCCATGATGCCTTGGTTTCCTGAGTTATTCTTTATATTCATTTTAAAGGAATAAATTTTAAATAAGTATAGACTTTTCTATTTCTTATTAAGAGCATATGTAGACTTCCCTGCTTATTAGCTCTGTTTCTATTTGGAATAGAGTCTGTTTTAGTAAACATTGATGTTTGAAACATCCTGCTCCTATAAATAGTTTTTGAATTAAAGAGTTACAAATGGCCTATATGCTTGTAGTAACCATTGTTGTTGTAACATCTTGCCCCCCTGCATGTTAGTTCTTGAAACACAAGTGTCCATGGATGACTAGCTGTTGAAATATCTACCTAAACCAGGCTCAAATATCACAGACCTTATTTCTTGGTACACAGAGCTACTTTAAAGTATGATTTTCACTTTTAAAGCAGTGGTCCAGTTTAGTATTTCCTGTGAATAAAAACAATAAGTATTCTGTTATCTGATGCTCATTAACACTTTTCATTGTTTGGGGCTTATTCTTCTAATATCTGGGCTGTTCTGTACATCTCTGTATATGGATTGCCCTCTAGAAGAGGCCTGCTTGTTCTTCCTGGAGGAAGTTTGTTTATTTATTTATTTAAAGATTTTATTTATTTGAGAGAGGGAGGGAGATAGTGCACGAGTGGGAAGAGGGGGAGAGGGAGAAGCAGACGCCCCGCTGAGCAGGGAGGCTGATGTGGGGCTCCATCCCAGGACCCTGAGAACATGACCCAGGTTGAAGGCAGATGCTTAACTGACTGAGCCACCCAGGCGCCCCTCCTGCAGAAAGTTTAATTAGAACAGAGTTGTAATTCATGTGCTTGGTTCTGTAGAGCAGGACAAAGATGTTTTGTTATTGGAACGTTCTGAAATACTCGTCCTTTGCTTATCTGAGCTGTTAGGTAAGAATAAAGCCTTTAAAAAGAACTATATAAATATTGCCTTATTCTACTTACTTTTCACAGATATTCAGCCTCCAGATGGGAAGCCAAAAGACTGTATGCTGCAGATTGTTTGCCGAGATGGGAAAATTATCAGTCTTTGTGCAGAAAGCACAGATGATTGTTTGTAAGTTTTGGGTTTTTATGTGTTTTAATTTAAAAAGTGTTGTGTTTTAATTTCCAGTTATCAGGAAGGGAGTAGAATAAGAATGGCGTTTTCCTTCAGGCAGCAGAATAAGTGACTCAGAGGATGTGTGAAACAAATGTAACAGGGCCTTATTCCAAGCCTAATAACTCTCGTCCTAGTTTCTGCTTCTCCAGAGCTGTGCAGGCAAGATCCCATTATAGCGGGAATGACAAAGTATTAGTATATAGCCACTTTGTACTTTTTCATTACTAGATGTACATTGGGTAATGGGCATAGTTGAATGGGTTCTTAAATCTTGTTCTTTTTATGTAAATATCTTTTAAAAAAGCACTGACATCTCCATTGCACAGTCTGTTCCTTCCTTTGGTGGTTCTTGCTCTATCTGCCATCTCTGAAGAAGAGATGTAGAGCCCCAAGAAAGAAAACGCAGCTTTATCAGTTCTCAGCCTGTTAACATTGGCAGTGAAGTTGGATCAGAATCTTGAAAACACTGATTAAATACAATTTGGGGGTGAGGGGGCGCCTAGGTGGCTCTGTCGGTTAAGCATCAGACTCTTGATTTCAGCTCAGGTCATGATCTCAGGGTCATGAGATCGAGCCCTGCATTGGGCTCCATGTTGGGTGTGGAGCCTGCTTAAGATTCTCTCTCTCTCCCCCTCTCTTTCTGCCCAAGCACAAGCACATGCACGCTCCCTCTCTCTCTCTCTCTCTCTCTCAAAAACGAAAAAAAAAAAAGAATTTGGGGGGAAGAATTTTTTTTTTTTCCTGGCCACTCTGTACCACTCTTATGAGTTAAGTCTGGACATTGTAAGAATTCACTAACAGATTATTGTAATATTCATTTATATTAAAATATTTATATGTAGGTGACTATTTTCGTACAATCCAGACCAGTTTGTCGAGTGCTTGCTCTGCATTTCACATATATGTTCATTTTAAATATAAACATTTATTCCATGCTAAACTCACAGAATTAATTTTAAATCCCATATATAGCTGCTTTTTTACACTCTTCTGATTCATATCAGTGAATCTTAAATGATACTTTTTGGAAGAAATATAGCTTTCCTGTAGACTGATGGAGAAATGACCACACGTAAAGCCAGTTTGCTACTTTTTAATAAACTGGACTTACAGTATTACTACTCAACAATTTAAACATGTATATTGAACACTTACTTGGCACTGGGCACTATGCTAACTGCTTTATATATGTTATTTAATCCTTACCATATCTTATAAGGTAAGTGCTGTTCTTGTTATAAGAAACTAGTAACTTCCTATATCACTTTTTTTCTTTTCTTTTTTTAAAGATTTTATTTATTTGACAGAAGGAGAGAAAGAGCACAAGTAGGTGGAGCGGCAGAGGGTGAGGGAGAAGCAGCCTTCCTTCCTGCTGAGCAGGGAGCCTGACACGGGGCTTGATCCCAGGGGACCCTGGGATCATGACCTGAGTCGAAGGCAGACGCTTAACCAACTGAGCCACCCAGGCACCACCCTATATCACTTTTTTAATGCTCCTATAATAAATTACCCTGAGCTTAGTGGCTTCAAGCAGTACAAATTTATGATTGCATTTCTGAAGGTCATGAGTCCAACACTGGGTCTTATAGTATTGGCAGGCTCTAGGGGAGAGTCTGCTTGTCTTTTAAGTTTCTAAAGGCTTCCTGGTTTCTTGGCTTCTGGGCCATGCCCTTTTCTTACGGTCATCTCTTTGCTTCTCTGCAGATGGGGAAGGTTATATGCTTTTAAGCACTTAATGAATAGTTTGGGCCAACCTGGATAATCCAGGGTAATCTCCCCATCTCAAAGTCCTTAACCTTAATTACAGCTGTAGAGTCTCTTTTGCCCTGTGAGATAACATTCACAGGTTTTCAGGATTAGGATGTAGATGTCATTCTGCCTACCACACTTCCCAAGATTTTAGAGCTAACAGACTAGACTCAGGATTTGAACCTTTGTCTCCACAGAGACCTTTGTTCTTAACTGCTCTCTTCTACTATACACTGAGGTGTTGCATGGAATGTTTAAGTAGTGGCAAAAATATCTGGAAATAGCAGTAATTAGACTGATGATGTTTATGATCTCAGTAAATGTGAACTGGTTAAATTCCCCTTAAAAAGAATAAGATCTGAGATTGGGTAAAAAATGCAAAGTCTAACTATATAGTCTGTTAACAAGAAACATACTTGAAATGAAATGACTCAGAAAGGTAAAAAAGTAAAGAATAGGAGACTCTTAGTTTCAGGAGACTGTTAGTTTCCTATGGCTGCCACAAACTGGGTGCCTTAAAACAACAAATGTTTTCTCTCACAGTTGTGGAAGCTAGGAGTCTGAGCTCAGCGTGTCAGCAGAGCCTTGCTCCCTCTGAGACTCCTGAGTAGAATCCTTCCTTGCCTTTTCCTAGTTTGGGTTGTGGCCATTGATCCTTGGCGTTCTTTGGCTTGCCACTGCATCAGTCCAATCTCTGCCTCTGTTGTAAAAAGACATTCTCCCTGTGTGTCTGTGTCCAGATGTTCTCTTAAAAGGACACCAACTGTATTAGAGTAAGGATCTGCATTAATTCAGTATGACCTCATCTTGAGTCCATCTGTAAAGACCGACCAACCTACCTTCCTTTTTCTTCTCTTTTCTTTAAGATTTATTTATTTATTTTAGAGAGGGAGTGCACATGTGCCTGGGAAGGGGCAGAGGGAGAGGGAGAGAGTGTCTTAAGCAGAGTCTGTGCTGAGCACAGGGCCCTACGTGGAGTTGATCTCATGACCCTGAGATCACAACCTGAGCTGAACACTTAACTGACTGAGCCACCCAGGCGCCCCAAAACCTTATTTCTAAATAAGTCAAAGGTACTGGGGATTAGGACTTCAACTTATTTTTTGGCAGAGGACAGAATTCAACCCATAACTGAGACCTTTGAGTAAAAATGGTGAAATGAAGGGGAAACCTTTTAGCAGTAACAGCCAAATGAAGAAGTTTAGCTTTAAGCACCAACTACAAAGAGTGATGGCCAAAGAAAGAAATAGAAGATTTTGTTGAGATGTTTCATTGTTTTTACCTCCAACTCCCAGAAGTAGTAACAAGAGGAGTTAGTTAAGTCTTGCAAATTTTCAGTAATACTCTGCAGTCTGGAAGGATGTTGACTAAAGGAGTAAGGTACTTTTTGGGAAAGCTAAGGAAAAACCCTTGAGAATATGATATCCTTGGGACCTCAGTGGAGAGTGGAAGGTTCCCACCAGGGTTTGTCATTCCAGAGCCACTGGAAGACTTCAGAGCTCACAGGAGTAGAATAATTCTGTGGCTGATGAAGTAAGTCCTAGCATGAGACATTCAAAAGAATATGCTCAGAAGAGTGTGGAAGCCAGATTTTTCAGAAAGGACTTAACTGCCACAAGAAATTTTCTTTTCTCTCACCATTATTCTCTTTGATTACAGAAAAATGATTGCGGGTAACACCTAGTCTGTTGCTGGGGTGGAGTGAGGTGGGGCTACCAATAGATGTCAGATTAAGTAGGAAGGGTGTCAAGAAGAAATAACACATACTATATGAGAGCAAATAGAATTTTTAGGTATCATTTCCCATGTTAAACATGAGCAGGATGCAAAGAAATGGTGTGCCAAATATACTGTAAAGGAAAAATAAGAAGGAAAATGTAATAAGCCTCAGAAAAAGCTCCTCATCTGTAGGAAAATAAAACCCACAAAACAGAATCAAATTTTCCAAGAATGCTTTCCTGGCTACCATATTTAAAATTATAACCCCCTCTCTTGCATCATACATATACACACATACTTACAATCTAATTAGCTATTTGTTTACCTTGTTTGTCTCTTTTTATTAGAATATAAACTGCATGAGAGAGGGAATTCATGTTTCTTCTGTGCCCTTTAGCATCTGTGTAGCCAAGAAGGTCCGTCGTAGGGTATATCTGCCATTCATTTTATAATCTAATTTAAATCTTGGCTCCCTTCCTTGGGGTACAAGCCCAACTGAAAAATGAATCACTGACATGAAGGAAAGACTTGAGCGTACTCTCAGGGAAAGCAGGGGGAAAAGATTAAAGAATTTAGAGAAAAGATCAGAATTGTGTTAGACTAAAAGAGTTTATCAGGAAGATTATTGATCAGTAGTCTGCAAAGTACAGAACCCAAGAAGGTAGTTAGAAATTCAGTGCAAGAAAAACTTTCTGAAATACTAGAACTGAATTAGACCAAAGTCCATAATAGACTCTCCTACCTGACAATATTAAATCCAGATACAATATATGAACAATCCAATAGGATACCCTTTAGCAAAATGAATGATAGTAGTGAACTGCTTATAAATCTGTTGGGGGAATTTTGCAACTTGATTGCATCCATTAGAAAACCAGAATGTTTGTAAGTAGCTTAGCTTGAAAATAACTTAGCAAAGGTTTTAACTCAAGGAGGTAGTGAAATGACAATAAAACAGAAAAGGAACTGGTATAGATAAGAGCAGAATGATAGTCATTAAGAAAGGTGAGGGGATGAGGGAGGGAGAACAGAAAATTTGTGAGACTTAAGATTTAGGTATCTGGTTTTTGTGACCATATATGGGCAGTTAGTAGGAATAGAATTTGTTACAACTTTTCCCAGGGTCATTTGGCAGTGTCCACTGAAATATGTTTATATTTCTTGACCTAGCAGTTTCACTCTTTGGAATTTGTCCTATAGAAATGTTTACATAAGGGTACAAAGGTAGTAAGGATGTTTGTTTTAATAATAGTGTAGTTCTCATGTATGACCAATCCACAGCTAACATATTCAACAGTGACAGGTTGGAAGCTTTCCCACCAAGATCAGGAATAAGACAAGGATTGCCCACTCTTACTACTTCTATTCAGTACACAGAAAGTCTTAGCCAAAGTAGTTAGGCAAGAAAGAAAAATAAAAGGCATTTAAATTGGAAAGGAAGAAGTAAAATTGTCTCTGTTTATGGATGATTTGATCTTCTATATAGA